CTTTTGAGCTCAATCTCTCTGTTTTATATATGTTTGGATACCCTATAATTCATCAATGGTGCTTTCATTGAGAGGTTTGAGCAAAATCAAGTTAGATTCCTCCCAAAAGTTCAAAAATTACATAAGAATCCCGGAAAATATAGCCAAAAGTGTTCTGGAAAATAGAAAAAAAATGAAGAAATCAAAATTATTCTAGAAATTCATGGAAAATCAAAGAAGAAAAAGCTGGAATTTCAGATCCGGAAGAATCCAGATCCGAGCCGGAAATGTAGCCGCCGGCGTGAGCTATTTGCTGGAGTCACCGCTGTTGCTCTGGACCTCCCTGCCGTTGCTCCAGATCTTCCGGCCGTCGATGGGTGCTGTTGGATAAGGCTGGTCTGTCTCTGCTCTGGGTCTCACTTTTGTTTCCAGACTTCGCCACCAGCGCTCCAGATCTGTTTGTCGCTGCTCCGGCTCTCACTGTCATCACTACGGATCTAACCTCCTCTGCTGCAGACTTCGCTGCCTAGAAACGCCGGTAGCTGGGTCGGCCACCGACTTCGCAGGACGGCCCTTCGCGGCTTATTCCTCATGTTGCAGCATCACCAGATGCCTTCTGGGCTGGATCCACCGCCTCACCAGCCTGCAGGTCGGTTTCAGCCTCCGTTGCAGCGCCCTAAGCCCCAGCTTGCCACAATCCTAGTGAGCTCCTGCAAAGAGCCAAAGGTCCTCCACACGATGCTGCTAGTCCAAGGTACCCCTACTTTCCTTTCTCTTTGACGACGCTGGCTGGGGCCCTGACGATGGTTTATCTCCCTGCGACCTCTGAGATGAAATCTCAGTGAAGATGGGTGGCCTTGTTAACTTCTACCGAGCACAGTTACAACTTAGTCAACATTTTTGGACCAGCAGGTCACATTTAGTCCAGAACCTGTTTTCAATAAAGATGGTGGGACTTGTTCTTGCAACACGTCAGATTCAGCACACTCAAAAGCTAATTAGTCCTAAATTCCTTCCATACAATTGATATGAGAACATATTTGATAAATTGATTACAAAAAAATCATAAATGAAATATTTTAATAATATAGCATCAAACTTCAATCTTGAAGGGCGAGTCATCCGTGAAAAGACACGTAAATAGCGTCTAACGGATCCCAGCTACGAACTTGAGTGACAAGTTGAGCTAGATTATTAATTTATTATCATTATTTTTTAAATAGTATTGATGGAGTATATGGCCCGGGAACCCCCGGCCCACAGACTCCTACTACTCCAGCAAAGGCCCAACAGGCCCAACAGGCCCAACAGGCCCAACAGGCCCAAATCACAGCGCCCAGAGTACCAAGCAGTCCGCACAACGCACAGGGGTGCCTTCGGCCCCTTGGCCGAAGGCTCCAAATTATCACAGAGCGGGTTTCTCAAGCAAATTAGGAAACTGGGAGAAAACGGCGAAAACAGTAGCCCTCGGCACTGTGAGCCCTCGGCACCAGGGTGCCATCGGGTGGGAGAGCCCTCGGTTACTGCTCTATAGCCGAAGGCATCTCACTCGACAAGATATCCGCCTCACATGCGTACAGATCAACGTACCCCGCACAGACGTCCCATCCAACAGCCGCATTAAATGCGGCCACATGCGGCTGCCAGCGCCAACCAGTTGAGGTGACCCCTCGGCCAATGAGCACTTGACACGAGTCCCTGCCCGGCATTTATTGCTACTATAAATAGCACCCCATTTCCCCATTTGTAACCACGCTTAATACATATCGAATATACACTCTCTCTCTTACTTGTTTGCTCTGACTTCTCTCTAAGTTATTCCCCGTAATAACCCTTCGGATATATACCCCCGGGTAGACTATCCATCATTTGGTGCTCTCGTTGAGAGCTTGAACAATCAAGTAAGAAACCCTCCCCCTCGACCAAACACAAAACACTAGCCCTCTATCAAAATGGTGAGGACAACACGTGCCAACTCAAAGAACGTAGAAGACAAGAACCTGGCCCTCGGCGACGTCAACGCCCCCGAAGCCTCTCACAGGGCTCCGGAGGGCGGTGTCATCGCTGGGCTGGAACAGGCGGCTGTCGACCTACGCCTTCAGATCCAACAAAACGCCCCCGATGCTCGCCTCGGCATCGAGGCCAAGAAGAAAAACCGGAGCGATGACCAAGTCAGCCCTCCGGTTCTCACCATCGACGTACAATCGGCGCTCTCCGCCTTCATCCAAACGCTCACCCAGAACCCGGGTGCCTTCGGCACCCTGGCTCCAGCTCACCCTCAGATCGGGGAAAACATCATACTTCCCCCCTCTGCCACACCCCTTCGGAAATCCCACCCCTCGGGTAAGAAACGACGAAGGGGTGGTGGCCCAAGAAACATCCTCCCAGGAAGTTCAGTCCCGGGACCGCCATAATGACAACAAGGAAAGGCCCCGTACTTCCGCCCTCAACCGGTTCGGAGGAGGGCCAGACCGCCGAGGGGTCCAAGACCGCCTCGGGGGGAAAGCACTCCAAAGGCCCCAGGAAAGCGGGGGATCTGTTTCGAGGGCAGACGAGGAGCGTCCCCCTCGGGACAAAGGCAAGGCACCCCTTCATGCCGATGATGCTCGCCATCAGATCAACCAGGCAAGGCACTCCTTGAAACGCTTTCCGCGTCACTACCCCCAGGGTATGACAGGCATGAGAAATGCCCAGGATTCGACTTTCAAAAATGGAACGCTATCCACGTCATTACCCCCAGGGTATGACAGGCATGAGAAATGCCCAGGATTCGACTTCCAAACCGAAACGCTCCCCGCGCCACCACCCCAAGGGTGTGGCAGGCCACGTACTATGTCTAGCGCCGAGGGGACGACTTTCAAAAATGAGGCGCTTTCCGCGCCATCCCCCAAGGGGAGGCAGGTTACGGACCACCATATCTTGTGCCCAGGAAACGTCCCTCGACCCCCTCGGAACTCGGAAGGTTAACCCGAGGGAGGAGAGCCATTGGTGTATTCTGATGGTCTCCTAATAGGCCCAGCCTTACCAAGAAACCAAGTTTCTTGAAGCCTTCCCTTCACCACCAACAAAAAAAAAAGGGGGGGGGGGGGGGGGGTGAAGGGGAGTAGACTCAGCGAGAAATCAAAGAGTACACTCCAACAAATCACAACATGCCGAGGGCTCCCCACGGGAACACCTCCGGTAATTGAAGACTCCTATTACCCGAAGGCTACACAAAGAAACAACACTTGAAAAAATTCCAAGTCCTAATGTTGGGCCCCCGGCTCAATCAACATTACAGCCAGGGGAATACAATAGCCGAAGGCTACGCGATACAACAACACTTGCAAACAAAGAAAATTTCTATCTCCTAAAGATGGGCCCCCGGCTCAGTCAGCATTGCAACCACAGGAATATGACAGTCGAAGGCCATACATCATGAAGGGATGCCGTCTCCCGAAGGCTCCCAGGGGAAACTTTACACTTAGAAGATTTTCTAAGTCCTACATATTTTCCCCCCGGTCAACTACTCATACATCATGAAGGGATGCCATCTCCCGAAGGCTCCCAAGGGAAACTCTACACTTAGAAGATTTTCTAAGTCCTACATATTTCCCCCCCGGTCAACTACTCATACATCATGGAGGGATGTCATCTCCCGAAGGCTCCCAAGGGAAACTCTACACTTAGAAGATTTTCTAAGTCCTACATATTTCACCCTCATCTCAAGGGACCTAATTGCTGAAGGCTACCTATCAATCGAGGGCTACAGTACACAAGGAATCAACACTCCAGAAAAATTTTCTAAGTCCTAAAGGATTAGCCCCCGGCCTATTCAATATTTCAGTTGGGGCTCCACAGTAGCCGAAGGCTACATGACATACTACACTTGCACAAAAATCTCTGAGTCCTGAACATTGGGCCCTCGGTCCAAGGTTCACACATCAGGAAGGGATCCCATTTCCCGAAGGCTCACAAGGGAAGATCTACACTTAGAAATTTTTCTAAGTCTTATGGATTGGTTTACTACTGACACCCGAAGGCTCACAGGGGAAAACCTACACTCAGAAATTTTTCTAAGTCCTAGGAAGTGGGTTACTACAAACGCCCGAAGGCCCCATGCTGTGCTGCACTTAGAGAAATTTTCTAAGTCCTAATTCCTACAGAACCCTCGGTTGCATATCCAGCAGAGGACGCCCAACTACCGAAGGCTTCCAAGGGCAGGCTACAATCGGAAAATATTCTAAGTCCTAGACATACATTCAAAAATACCGAAAACATACATTCAAAGGAGAAGGCATACATTCAAAACATAAGGTGCATTCGAATATGAAAAGCCCGGAGGCAGCATGCATTTCATCAAAAACAAGAGTAAGTGTGAAATTACAAACAGGCCGAAGCCGAAGGATCAAAGTTATTCATTACAAAATATGTTCAAAGATTTCTAAAAGCATATTACACATCAACTACATCATTCCCGGGGGCACCCTCCCCCGATGGCTTCGAGGTAACCTCCGTCCCGGTGGCGTCCTCGGCATCATCATCGACGCCCATCATCATGGAATCATGAATCACCGGGCGCTCTTCTCCCTTGGGGAAGGGGACCCGCACATCCGGTTGAAATGGGGGAAGGCCGTACACCGAGGGGTTGAACTCAACCAGGGAGGTGCCAAAATGCCGGGCGAGCCTCCGGTAAACCAGGTGCTGGGTGAAGAACTCGCCAGCTTGATAGTAGGTGTCACCCCTCTCATTCATCCAGTCGAGCCCGGGGCCCCTCACCCACTCCTCGATCGAGGCCTTCACCACAGAAGCCACCCACTCGCTCTGGCCCTCGGCTTTCCAGCCCTCGGAGGTGAACCCAGCAATGGCCTCTTCTCGGGATTTGGCAGCAGCTTCAGCTTTGGCCTTCTCGGCGTCCTCGGCAGCTTGTTTTCTCTCCTCGGCCCGCAACCCTCTCGGCCTCAGCCCTGCCCTCGGCCTTCCCGTCTTCTCTGGCCTCCTTCAGCCGCAGCTCCGCTTGCCGAAGGGCATCCTCCAACTTGCACACCTCGCGAAGGGCAGCGTCCTTGTCGCGAATCAGCTCCTCCACGGACCTCTCTAGCTCGGCCTTATGACGGCACCACTCCTCTCGCCTTCGGGCCTGCTCACCGAAGGTTATGCATGCCTGTTGAACAACGGACAGAGGGTTCAGACGGGCATTGGGATTATGATAAAATATTGAGATCAAGTCAAAGTAGAAACACTTACAGTCAGAGCTGATCGAAGGGCCCTGGCTTCGAGGGCGTCATCGTTATAGGTGGAGAGGGCTTCTTTGTCCATCATCGAGGTAATCCCCCTCAGGAAAGACAACGGCTCGGCTGAACCGTGCAATACGGATGCCCCCGGAGCGAGGGAGAGCCGAATAATCTCCCGAGGCATCTTCCCCGAGGGAAGGTCCGTCTGAGCCATCGGAGTATCAATTGCCGGGGGGTCAGCGGAGGGCTGATCATCGAGTATTATGAGGGGGGCCGCCTTCTCAACGGCGTCCCCGGCAACCTTCTGCTTCTTGATCGGGGGCTCCACCCCCTTGCCCCCCTTCTTCTTCTTGGCTGCCACATCAGCCTTCGGCCCCCCGGCCGCAGTAACGGGAGCAGCAGCAGCTGAAGGCTCTGCGGTCTCCTTCGGGAAAACCTCATCAATGGGCTTTTGACCCGAGGGCTCTGTCTTCTCCTTCTTCTGGGCTTGCACCCTCTCCTTCTTCTTCTTCATTGCGAAGAGAGCCTCCATACCTGCAAAACAAAGCAAAGAGAATGTTAACCCGAAGGGTTCATACCAAAATCAACTATCGGGATGCAAAATGAAAATGCCTAAGTAGGAGACTAGGGGCCCTCGTAGCCTACCTCCTGCTCCCCCGAAGGCCTCAGTGAAGACAGGGTACTTCTCACCTACTTCCCCGATGAACCGGTACCGTCGGAACCCGAGGGCATGCAAGTCTTCCTCAAAGGTGCATTCTTTGATCGTCACGACCTTCGTCTTGCCCTCCCGAATCTTGGCAAGTTTCAGGCCATCCTTCTCTAGGGCAGCACTCCCCACCCTCTCGTGGCGCCGAAAGCGGCCCCGTAGCTCCTTCGGGAAGGGATTCTCAGCCAGCCGGACGTAGCACCATCTGTCTTTCCAGCCCTTATTGGACGAGGGCGCCTCGGTGAACAGCTTGAACTTTGCTACCTGCTGTAAATTGGCGAAGCCCTCGGCATTCGCGTGCCCCCCCCCCCCCCCGGCACAAGTTGAAGCTTTGAAAGAAGAGGTCCAAGCTTGGGGTGACACCCCTCGTCCGGCACAGGTGCAGAAAGCCAGCAATGTATGAATGGCTATTGGGGGTAAGTTGGCAGGGGAGGAGTCCAACAAACCGGAGGTACTCCCGGAGGAATGGATGCAGGGGAAACCGGAGGCCCATGGACACTGACAGGATGTGGACGGCAATGCATCCCTCCGGAGGCCGGGACAGCAGATCATCGACGCTTGGCTCCACCACTACGGCCGAGGGCCCAACGTGCAGCTGCGTGACGTACAAGTCAGCCCTGTCCGCCTTCGACTTAATATCGAGGGCCTCGGTGTTTAGCCAGGTATACCCCTCTGGCATTTCAACAGGCCCCCCGGCACCATCGGCCGCACTCTTCTTCTTAGGGGCAGCCCTCTGCGACTTTGTCTTCTTTTTACCGGGGGCTATCCTCAGAGGCGTCGGGTCCAACGGCCTGGAGGTGCTAGGCTCACCACAGTCAGTCCGAGGGGGTGGCACAACAACAGTAACCATCATCGTCTCCTTTTGAGCTTCGTCCTCCGCCACCTGACACGCGAGGGCTAGTTCTTCATCTTCGCACTCCTGTTCGAAGCCCTCGGCATCCACCTCAGCAGCCAGGGCCTTCTGCAACTCCAAGGCCACCGCTTCGTCGTCGGCAACCGAGGGCGCACTGCTGCTTGACTCGACATCGGAAGCAACCTCATCCTCAACTGAGGGCTCCCTCGATATATTCTGGGAATCACTCTCGGACGACATTCTTTGCCAAAAAAAAATGTGCCTAAAGTTTCGAAGGGTTTCTACGGAACCCTAACCCTAAACTAAGGCCAGAGGGTGGAACTTGCAAAAAGTGTTGAGGAGCGAAGGGAGAACTAACCTCTGGAAGTGTTGTGACCGAGGGCTCGAGTTTCTCTCTCTAGAATTTTTGGCAGAGCTTCGCTAAGGATTTTTGAACGCGTAAAGAAGGAATGGCTCTGGCTCCGGGGTATTTATAGACCCCAGAGTCCGGGCTTGGGCCCGAAAACCGGGCCTCCGGGTGGACGCCATCATTACACGCCGCATCTTCACCCAACCCGTGATGCCGCCCACGGACAGCCAGCCATCACACGCCACGTGTGTCACCCCCCAACGGCTATATCCTGTCGTTACGTATTCCAACGGCTATATTTCCAACGGCTATATTTTGGAAGCTCCCGGGTTTTCTACTTCACTCCACTTCATCAAGGATAGCCTCCGGGTGCACTCACCCGGAAGTGCCCCCGGGTTGTGCCCCACACAGCACATTACACACGCCTTCGGGATCACTCCTTCAGATCCCTAGGGCTGCATATCAGGGCACCCCTCGGGGTTTCCCCCTCAGCACTGCAAAACCGGGTAGCCCCCGGGGAGGGCCTCATTGACGGATGGCCCATGGCACACAGGTAGTGGGAGCCCTCGGGTAACTTCATCACCAACTCATCAACAAACAGTGAACCCCCCGGTAACAACTTCACTGCTGCCCTCATCTGGCAGACCCTCGATCCCTGGATTGAGGGGATCCCCTTCGGCACCACCAGGACATCAACAGCAAGCCTTCGGCTAATCAACACAGGAGCCCTCAGAGGAGAGAGCCTTCGGCATTCCCGTCATTCCCCACTTTGTACCAAGGTTTGACACTTTCGATTCATCATTGGGGGAATTCGGTGCACTCTTTTTCCCTCATTAGGATTTTTTCCCAAAGGGTTTTTCCTAATGAGGTTTTTAACGAGGCATCCCCCCAAAATGAAACGAAAAGCGTCAGCCTTCGGCCCACAACGGCAATGTAACTACTTTACTCCTTTTTACCACTTTACAAGTGCCTCAAGGAGTGGGGGACTGGAGGACCCCTTCGGGAAAACCATTAAATTACAAAATCTGTGAAAATCCAACAAACAACAAAGCAAGCCCTCAAGTCCCGACATGTGGGTAACTGAGGGACTGCCTTCGCCAGGGACATAAAAGCAACAACTCCTCACCAACTTCGGGAATCACGATGGGACAACATCAAAGGGCAAGCACAAGTTACTCCTTTTCCCTCAAGTACCTTTCGGCAAAAGGAGTGAGGGACTCCTGATGGAGTATATGGCCCGGGAACCCCCGGCCCACAGACTCCTACTACTCCAGCAAAGGCCCAACAGGCCCAACAGGCCCAAAAGGCCCAACAGGCCCAAATCACAGCGCCCAGAGTACCAAGCAGTCCGCACAACGCACAGGGGTGCCTTCGGCCCCTTGGCCGAAGGCTCCAAATTATCACAGAGCGGGTTTCTCAAGCAAATTAGGAAACTGGGAGAAAACGGCGAAAACAGTAGCCCTCGGCACTGTGAGCCCTCGGCACCAGGGTGCCATCGGGTGGGAGAGCCCTCGGTTACTGCTCTTTAGCCGAAGGCATCTCACTCGACAAGATATCCGCCTCACATGCGTACAGATCAACGTACCCCGCACAGACGTCCCATCCAACAGCCGCATTAAATGCGGCCACATGCGGCTGCCAGCGCCAACCAGTTGAGGTGACCCCTCGGCCAATGAACACTTGACACGTGTCCCTGCCCGGCATTTATTGCTACTATAAATAGCACCCCATTTCCCCATTTGTAACCACGCTTAATACATATCGAATATACACTCTCTCTCTTACTTGTTCGCTCTGACTTCTCTCTAAGTTATTCCCCGTAATAACCCTTCGGATATATACCCCCGGGTAGACTATCCATCAAGTATGTATTTTTTGACATCGAAAAAATGGGCTTATGAATTCCGAGCACTCACGTACACCGGAAGAGAGCTAAAATCTTGCACCACTGGGTCACGTCAAACGAGTGTGGATAGTAAACTCCCAATCCAAATGTTATCTAATACATACTTTAGTTTCTATGTTTTGTACGAGTTATGTGTGCCCTCTAGCTATCGGAAATGAACTGCAATCCCTTGGCGGTAGGTTCAATCCTTTATGCGTGCCATGCTCAACTAATTAAGCAGAGAAATCTAGCTTGAGCCTTAGCTTGGAAATTTGAGGCAACTTAATTTAGGCCCAAATCCAATAGCAAATTATAAGCTCAAGAAATTATAACAATTTTATTTGAATGCATAGGTGCAACTAAATGATGACATCATACCGGCCCCTTAGCCGTCTCTCTTGATCATCTTTATTTGATGGCTAGGACTTCATATAGGCCTCTCGGCCACATATCTCGGTCATCTTTATTTGATGACCAGGACATCATATTATGGACGGTCACTTGACTTATCTCTTAGTCATCTTTATTTGATGACTAGGTTTACCTATCATGTTGAGCTACGCACATACGAGGATCGATCTTGGCCATCCCCTTAACAGATGCCGACGGTTGCAGTTCCACGCCCAGGCCGAAGGGTTCACCTCTTTCGCTTCATTTTGGGGGAATAAGATGTACTCTTTTTCCCTCATTAGGATTTTTTCCTAGTGAGGTTTTTAACGAGACATCCCCCCAACGTGGACAAAAGGTGTCGACCCTCGGTCCATATTGAAGACATCACAAGACCTGCTGATGGTCCCAGATAGGGTAAAAGTCTAGAGGGGTGGGGGGTGAACAGGGTACTAACACATGCACTACTCTACTCCCCTTCACCTCACTACATTCACCTCAAGGAGTGGGGGACTCGAAGAGAGGGGGACTTAGCGCCTCCGTTAACCAAAGAAGTAGAAATTCAAAGAAAATCACGAAGTTTACTCACCAGACGATAGATCAGCACACAGTTCTACTCCATTTCGCCTCGAGTACTCTCGACTCAAGGAGTGGGGGACTCCTGATAGAGTATATAGACTCGGACCCCCAGGTCTCACGACTATTGGGCATGGACAGCGGCACACACACGCTTATCGGATGTCATTTGTATTATTGTACTGTTCATATGTCATTTGTATGTACTAGATTAGCCTTTTATATTATCAGTCCATTTATGTAACCGGGTCTGTTGGGCCCATATTAGAGGCCCAGACCCGGATTTCCCTATTTATACTCCTCTTGGAGCCTCTTGTAACCCTAAGTCATTAGAACACAATTCTTTCATACATCTTTTTCTCTCTTGAGCTCAATCTCACCATTTTATATATGTTTGGATACCCTATAATCCATCACTAATATAAACTTGTGTTTTGAGTTGAAACCATTGTACTTTAATATGCCCAACATCTTTATTTTATTACCAGAAGAACTCTCACCCCGTTAATCGTAACGTTCTAACGTGTTGGAATGCGTGAGTGCGTGCCATCCTTCATTTTGTTAATAGATGCATCTCCACACCATTCTTTTATTTTCCTTATTACTGCATAGTACTCCCTCGGTCCCGTTAACAATGGGACAAGTGGGAGTGACACGCAAATTAATAAAAAGTGGTTTATGTGGTTGATATTAAATTGATAAAGTAAGAATAAAGTAAGAATGATTTAGAGCCACACAAACTTTACCAAATTTGGTATGAGACAATTTTATTGGGACGGACCGATAAGGTAAAATGGGACAATCATAGCGGGACGGAGGTGGTAATAATATGGGAAAAACACAATCTTAATTTTGTCGTTTAATGAATACGAAGTACGGAGTAGGTAGTTTTGATATCTTTTTTCCTTTCTTTCCCAAGCAAGAAATAAAAAGAGTTTTTTTGAATTAATGTTAATTAATTAATTAATTACGAAAATAGGGTTGGGTTAAAAGTATTTATCAATATACTGCTGGGTTAACCATGGTCGGGGTAAGTCGCCCAACGGTTGGGCGACTTACCTTTAAGTAAAAACTTCGACCAGCCAGAACAGAACACTGCGTAAATTAAACCCAATCCCCAAAATCCCCCAAGCCGCAGCGACGAAGGACAAACGACGGCCGAGCGATTTGGAACTCCGGCGAACCTCCATCTCCAGCTACCCCACTCCGGCAAACCTCCATCTTCATCTTCAATACTCTTTCTTCTTTCTTGCAGGTAAATCAAACTCCATTTCATTTCATTTTGAACTTAGGGTTTTGAATGTTAAAATTTTCGAAGTTTTAGATTATGAATTGATTGTGAATTGAGTTGTTGTGAAATGTGGATATGTATGAAATGTTGAAATTTGATTTTAAATTGATTGTAAATTTTAAAGTGTATTTTGACATTTGGGCATTTGGGTAGATTTGAATATAGCTAAATTTGGGTATTGAAATGTAGACTTGAATGTAGATAGCAAAAAATTGGTATTTTCATATTGAAATGTGAGTTGTTTGTGAATTTTGACTTTTGGATATATTTGAATTGTTATTAGAATATGGATTTCTCAAGCTTCCCTATCGTGTGTCATTGGGGAGGGAACTATTATGAGGATGCTGGGCAAATATGCCATGAAGGTGGTACAACCGCACGACAACATCAGAAAAAGAAGTTTGACGGTGGGTTCAAGAAGATAGGTAAAATGAGTTTGGAGGCACGGCAATTTCTGGGGAACATTCCCCCGGAAATGTGGTCGTTGCACCACGATGGCGGGTATAGATACGGTACCATCACTTCTAATCTCGCAGAGGTTTTCAACAGTGTGATGAAAAATGCCAGATATTTGCCCATCACCACTTTGGTCCAGGTTTCCTTTTATCGAGTTAATGCTTATTTTGTTAATAGGCGTGAAACCAGTAAAATGAGAGTGACAGAAGGCCACGAGTACTCCCCATACATCACAAATTTAATTGATAAGAATAGAGAGAAGACCAAGCATCACATAGTTACTCCATTTGATTTAGGCCAAGGGTTATTTCAAATGGAAACCGGTTGTGGTGGTCGAACGTTGGGGAAGGGTGGGAGAAAACAAACTGTCCATCTTAAACGGAAAACTTGCACTTGTAAAAAGATGGAGATATATAAGATTCCATGCTCCCATGTGTTAGCCGTGTGCAGACAATGTAGCTTGAGCTTGTCTTATGCTCCATTTGTGGATAAGTTTTTCTCATCTGACCAATACGCGGCCACATATAATAGAGTCTTCAAACCCATTCGTGATCGTGATTATTGGCGTACTTACAATGGACCTGAAATCATGCACGATCCATCCATGCTTCGGGCTAAGGGAAGACATAAGTCGACACGTATTAAGAATGAGATGGATGAAGGTCCCCGAGGAACGGTTAGATGTCGAAAATGCCACCAATCCGACCATAATAGGGTCACATGAGCGAAGAGATCATCAAGACACGATGGGGGGTCCAGTGGGTAAGGTGTTAATATAGTAATTCACAATTCATCTTAGCGTTGCATGAAAACATATTAATTAATAAAATGGATGATGAAAAAAATAGAATTCGTATAATACTAAAAATTAACTAATACGATTTTGTTTTTTTGTAGGCATGGAGATGATAGTGGATCCTAGGCCGAGTGATGAAGATGACCATGAGAACTTCTACTTTGCCTTTTGTATTGCAGTTTTTCTTGTACAATTGATGTTATAGGAACAATTTACAACATTTTACGTATTTTCTCTTGTATGTTGTCTTAGATGATTACTTGTTATGAATATTGGATGATTGTATGCACTCTGTTTTACTGGTGTGTTGTATGTGTTTTTCTTGGATGATTACTTCTGTATCAAGATGTTTTATAATGTGTTGTATCTGGCTCGTAATACTTAAACAGGAGAAGGGAGACCTTATTTATAGCAAACAGATGAGTCAGGGTTGAACTGGGGCAAAAAAACTGCTGAAATTCTGTTTTCGTAATTAGGTACGATCGTGCCTACCCTTGCAAGCACGATCGTGCGTGGCTGGCAGTAACTGCTGGCCTGCGTTCATATGGAAGGACAAGTCGCCCAATGGTTGGGCGACTTATAAGTCGCCAAACGGTTTGGCGACTTATAAGTCGCCCAACCGTTGGACGACTTTCCCTAACCATGGTTAAACCTAGCAGTAGATCGGTAAATATTTTTTTTCCAGCATTATTTTCGTAATTAATTAATTAATTAACATTAATTCGAAAAAAAAAACTCAAATAAAAAAAAATGAACGCCCAACATTATTTTTTTGATAAATTTAGCGGTCTCCACTACATTTTTGATAAATTGAATAAATCAATCGAATCAGTTGAATCTGTAGAAATTGATGAAATTCTAAATGGAGCAAATGAATTTAGTAAATCTACTGAATTATATAGAAAACCTATACTTAAAATATACTACATTAGTATATGAAAGAAAAAATAAAATAAAAATAGCTAAAAATTCAGTAAATTCAGTCAGAAAAGTAACTTCAATCTTACATATTTTGATTATTCTACAATTGAATGCACAAAATAAAAAATTACGTATTTGATAAAAAAGTTGACTGATAAGGTTGATGAACTGAATTATCAAATAATAGACTCTATGAGGTGATGTAAATTAGGAAAATTTACCTTATCTACTACTCTATATTAAACAATTATTTGTAATGTGAATATTAATTAGTAATGTGAATATTTTGAATTTGTTTCTTAGTCTCATAAGACCATGTACTCAATTAGTAATGTGAATATTTTCGACTTATTAGACTCATCCAATAACTTAGTAATGTAATTTTCATTGAGAAAATGGTCAAATAAGGCTTTCTACTATTATGAAATAGTCACGTAAGGCCATGTACTCAATAAGGTGTCATATAAGTACTTCTACTTGTATAAAGCAATCAAATGAGTCCTAACGACTTATTTAACACCTCCTAATCCCGATTTTAGCTTACATGTCGATTTTTTTGACTTGTATTTCAACCAATCTTAGTTAAATATTCAAATATGTCGTATAATGTATTCTAAAAAGATGGTCAGAAGTACGTTGAAACCAGGATTAAGAGGTGTTAAATATGTCTTTAGGACTCATTTGATTGCTTTTTACAAGTAGAAGTACTTATATGACACTTTATTGAGTACATGTCTTATGTGACTATTTTATAATAATAAAAGACCTTATTTGACCCTTTTATCTTTTTCATTTAACAAGCTGAATTGAAAAATAAAGAAAATTAAAATTGATGTTACTTTTCTGTTAAATCTGCAAACAAAGACTATTTCATTTATTTTTATAAAGTGCATGTTCTTATTAAGATATGTATTACATAATTTTCATTGTGTTAGTGATCTTTTTCTTATGAAATTAGGAATATTAAATACTTTATTTTTAAGTTGACACAAATGTTAACATGTCAAATACTAAAAGTAATCACATTTTATCAACATATAATATACATTTTTTTTCAATATAAATCCATTGGGCATTGTATTGAATCGCGCAGGGCGCGTCAAAAACTAGTTCAATATAAAAGCAAAAGATTTTCCAGGAACAATGTTTCCTCTCAAAATTGTCAACTATAAGGGAAATAACAATAAAGATAATAAAAGAAATCAAAAATAATAAATTCATATGGAGTACAACAGGTGGCGTAGAAATCCTTCAAAAACATATCTAAATAGTGAAGCATGGAGTGGAGAAGGTGAACAGTAAAAATTAAACATAATCTACAATAGAAAAATTGAATGGTATACATCACCTACGGTAGAAAGTGGAAGGCAAAAAAGATTACCGTTAGTACTAGGCAGACAGCCCCTAACCTCAAGTCCAGAATAAAGATAAGGTGGTGAGTGGTAACTGACCGTTTAATTCAACGAAGTGAACACTGAAACCTTGCATAGAGTTAGTAACCCGGTTCGGTCCAGGTTTGGGTTGCGCCGGTTAAAGTCGAAACGTGAAATCATCTCATCGTGCTTTTATATTTTAAAACCTATTTTCAAAAAAAATAAATAAATAAATAAAAAATAAATAATGCAAATAATAACACAAATTTAGTCTCCAAAATCACCAAAATTTCAAATCCAAAGAGGATAATTATCTTAATATTTTGTTTAGGATGCATATAAATAAATAATACAGGTTTTCTAAAAATTTTACGAAATAAAACCTCTGGATAAAAATGTGACCAAATTTACTATAAATGTATTTTCATGGTGATTACGGTAAACAAATTTGAACATATTTGCAGTTACTAAAAGTTACTAGGTTATGTTTTCATCCACCATGATTATAATCATATTTTAGGAATTAACTATAAATTATACTCCCTCCGTCCCTAAATAAAAGCATCTGTTTCCTTTTCGGGCCGTCCCTAAATAAAAGTTCCCTTTCCTTTTTTGGCAAACAAAACAGTGCAAAACAGTGCCAAACAGTGTCCAAACAGTACCAATAAAATCCACTTTCTTAAAATGTGTGTAAAATGAATGAATACTTTTATATAGGGACGAAGGTATTCATGTATTATTTTAATTTTATATTAAAGCTAATTGTTTTTATCTGTACTAGACGAGTTATAGATTTTAGGGTCTATTTATGAGATTGAAATTCCGGGTTCTATCCATTTTTTTCCGGGCCAGTTAAATAGAAAAGATCAGGACAGGGAACATTATTCCGGCCAAATCAGGGCCTGTATACGGGTTCCCGTTGGGGTTTTCCACCCCCACCGGCAAGGCGCCAACGCGTCCCTCCTCCCCGGATCACAGCATCGACGACGCCCAGTCGCCTGCCCTTCTGCTCGCATACACCACCATTCTCCATCCAAAACCTTGTAAAACCCATTATAGATATAACCCTTTGCAGCTCTTGCCGTTGCAGTAGCTTTAATTTGTTGTTGAATGTACTGAGATTTTATTCTCTCCGCGCCAGTACCGCGGTCGCGTTTGGTCGAGGTGGATTTGTCGGGGAGATATGGACGCTTTAGACTTCCAAGTCATCGACTCGAATAGCGGCTTGAGTTGAGACAGAAGACGAGACAGACTGCACATGGCAAAGCGCGTTTACGAACTCTGGAAAGGAAGCAATGTGAGAATTATGTTTTTGTTTTCTTGCTCATTTTTTTTATACGTTAGGGCCTCGGTTGATTTAGTGAATTGCTTTCTCATTAGCAAATTTAACCTCGAGTTGTTTATTATGTGGGCAGTTTTTAGGGCATTTGAGTTGGTAATACTTAGAGTGGAGAGGCGACCAAAAGCGTTATTGTAATCTTTATAGGTCATTTGATCAATTAACCTTCGTCCTCACTAGGTTTATTCCTGTTTATTCAGCTAGCATGTATACAATAGAAAGATATGTCAAGTTTGATCATGGATGCCATTAGTCCTAGAAAACTAGATAAAGATTATTGTATGGAATCAAAATGACAAGCCACGAGCTATGAAGAAAATTATTCCTCATTTCAGGTTGTTTTATGGAACTGTGGATGGGTATGCTTATAACATATTACAAAGAGAGGGAATACACTGTGTAGACTGTGTAGTTCTATACGTAGAGGCAGGTGAGACCATACTGGCATAAAGCAAATGTTCATATGTGCATTGTAATGATAAATAGGGAAATTTGGGTTGGATTTCTCTATTAATGTTAATTGAAGGTTAACAAGTGGCAGAGGCTAAACTTCTGAAACATATACCCCTTCTGTAATCTGTATTGATTCTATAAGTCTTCAAGTAAGGTTTCAGACGCCCTAAAACTTACATCCTATCCTTAATTTCCCTCTCTTGAAAATGGGGAAATAATCTCCTGCATGCCTTTCAAAATCTTCTTCTGACACCAGTCGAGGATTATCATATGACTTGGTGCGTTATGATTTTCATTTTTTATTTCATATTTTGTTACAGTCATTGTTATGTGCATCATCACTTTAGCTAGCAATCACTTTATGATTTCACTCTCAATTTCCTATATGTTTATTTTAGTGGCAGCATATATTTCGATATGCATGTTAAAGATATGTAGTTTTTGTTCAAATTTCTGAAAATCTTTTTTTCTCTCACAGAAGTTTTTTCTTGGCGGAAGGTTGATATTTGGACCTGATGCGAGGTCATTGCTCATCACTTTACTTCTAGTCATTGTGCCTGTTGCTATTTTTTGCGTCTTTGTGGCAATACATCTTCGGCATCAGTTTTCACCTCACAATGCTGGATATGCTGTCATAGTGGCACCAATTGTCTTTGCCATTAATGTAAGTAACTGTTGTGTGCACGTTACTCTAGTTTTCCACGTATATTACTATATTGATTATATTACGTTTCTGATGCTTTTGATGGACTTCATTTGGTTGTATGATTTTATTTTCTGCTTCAATAGGTATGATTGTGCTTTTCTTCAATCTCCATTTGCATACATCACATATGCATGTTCTAAGCTTAAATGGTACTTTCTTAAAGATTTATAATTGTATGAGATTAATAATTCATTATAAAATAATTTTCCATGAAATGTATTAATTACATTTGACTTTGAAAGCAGGGCATATGCTCGATATTCTTATCTTTCTTAGAATTTCTATGATACAAATCTTTATGGTGGAATAACTGTGCTAGAGAGGAGTTATATGGAGAATTCCATACATGCTGTTGTAGCATGGCGCGGCATATTATGAGCTTAGCTCTGATATTGGAACGCATTTTACCCGTATGAGGAAAGCATGTATGCTATATATAGCTTGTGTATGTCTTACACTCTTACCATAGCGGGATACCAGGCATGTGAACCTATTTGATATGATTTGAATGGACAATAAAGACTTAGAGCTTTCTATGACTCTCTGATAGCAACTGATGGATTTACGTCTATGAGGGTTTTCTGTTTTGCAATCTCTACCCCCTAACCTCATTGTTGCATCAGCAAAGGTTCTCCTTAAAAGTCAAAACTTGTACCCTGGAAATCGTGATCGCTGATTATGTTGCTATTTGTGTACTTTCTTTGGTTAGTTTAACATGCTTTGCTTCATTAAGCCCCCACCCCGTTCATGTTTGTTAATTCGTGACAGTTACCATCATATTTCATGTTTAACATTAGAGATATAATAATGTTTTGTAGGTCTTGGCGTTACTTTTGCTTACATCGGCACGTGATCCCGGAATTGTTCCACGTAATGCACATCCGCCGGAGGAAGAGTATCGTTATGACACATCAGCACCAGCAGATAATGGGGGAAGGCAAACACCCAGCCTCCAGCTTCCTCGAACAAAGGAAGTAATGGTTAATGGAATTCCAGTAAGGGTTAAATATTGTGATACCTGCATGCTCTATCGCCCCCCTCGCTGCTCTCATTGCTCTATTTGTGACAATTGCGTGGAGCGTTTTGATCATCATTGTCCATGGGTGGGGCAATGCATAGGATTGGTAGGTTTCCACATGAGACACATCAAATGTCTCTTGTTTCTCGTCTTAGGGTTATACATGTAAGTTATTTTAAAGTGAAGGGAAAGTGTCATCTCACCATATTGGTTCATTGTTTTTTTAAATGTGCAGCGCAACTACCGTTTCTTCTTTTGTTTTGTTTCGTCTGCGACACTTCTCTGCATCTATGTGTTTGCCATGTGTGCTTTCTATATTAAGGTAGTGATGGATGATAATAGAAGCACAGTGTGGAGGGCAATCAAAGAATCTCCAACATCAGTAGTTCTAATGGCTTACTGCTTTATTTCCTTGTGGTTTGTTGGTGGACTCACTGGCTTCCATTCCTTCCTCATCCTCACCAATCAGGTCTGTTTTTTCCTCTTTTGATATTATTGACTTCATGTTGTTTATTTAGGATTGGGTCTCTTGTGGGGGTAATCTCTTGGGTTCAAGCCTTGTATACAATAGGTTTGACAATTTACTTATGATGTTGTATTGGATGCATGTATAACCGAAATCTAACATTGTTTGTGCCAGCTAATATATATCAGGATGCCCATACAATCTCCTCAGCCAAATCTGTACCCATATTTCTTACATGTCAGCCAAATTTGTACCCATATTTCTTACATGAACCTATGCACTCTGTTTCTTGTGATGATTGATATGGCAATTTTAATTGTTTATTCATAATTTTGTGAATCCTGTTTTATTGACTAAAAGCATTTGAAAATCTAATCTAGGCTTTTGATTGTCTCAGTGTGGATGGTCCATTCTTCTCATTTGATCTAACATGTAATTTTATTTATGAAGTAAAAATCCGACAAGCATTATACTGTGGTGTCTATGGAAGATTGGAAGAATGGTTTAAATGGGGAAGGCTTTGGAGGCTGCTACAGTTTATATCTTGAAATGTATGAGAGATTTTATTAAATTTTGTTTTTGTATTAATAAATTATTCTATTTAACAAGTTATATACTAAATCTTCCCAAGCCTTCACCTCGGAAGTCAAAACCCATCCCAAACATCCCCTTAGGGGCAACCGGGCAAGTCCCCTTCTGTGAGAGACCATGAAATCTGAGATGGTTGATGGGCGGGCCTTCATGGGATTGTTCTAGGCTGAAAGTAAATAATAAGTAAATATGGTTCAGTTGCCGATTGTGTAATATTGTTTCCCCAATGATATGACTTTTGGTTCTATAACATCACCTTTTGTACTGATAAGCTCACTGAGTGAATAGCAGCATGCTATGAATTTCAGCATTGTGGATTGGAATGATCCATGTTGTTTAAGTTTAAGCAAAGTGATTGCCAATACCTTCATTCTCTATTTCCTCTTAGAGTTGTTCTCTCTTTTTAATGCTAACCTGCCATTTCTTAAGTCGGGTTTCCTTAAGTTTTCAGCTCTAGAGACAAATCGAATGAATGCCTTGGTTTGCTTAAAAAAGTGGACCTATATCGTGAACCCTTATTTTTATTATTTCTTTGAAAACAAGGGTCTGACACTAATTTTTATGGGCGTGCTAAATTTATGACATACATTGTGCTGTCTATGCATGGATCTGGGAGAAATAGGAACATCGTTCATTTTCCTCACTTTTATATGTCTACACTATACATTCTGACGTGTTTTCGCTTTTATACCCTCCTCCAGACGACTTATGAAAACTTCAGATATAGAGCAGACAACAGGGCCAACGTTTATGACCGTGGCTGTTTGTACAACGTGTATGAAGTGTTTTGCACAGAAGTAAAGCCATCCCGGAACAACTTTAGGGCTTTTGTGCAAGAGGAGGGGGAGACACAACAAAGGCTTCCTCCTCTTCCTGTGCTGCCTACAACAGCTGAGCGGGAAGATGAAGAAGTAGAGGGAACAGATCGGCGTGTAAAGGTAGAAGAAGATGATCTGGGCATTGGTGGGGACCTCTTGAGGATCTCACAGCGTCATGATATTGAAGAAGACATAATTGATATACGGAGTAGAGGAGGGAGCGATGGCGCCCCACCACACAACTCTTTTTATGAGGCTGATGATTCTGCTGCATTTGGCGGTGCATCTTTCCTCCCTAAACCATGTAGGGGAAGAAGTGGTGGGAGCTGGGAAGAAAGGGAAGCTGTGCCCACACCTTCAGTGGACGAGGCATAGCATGTCAATGACAAGTACCTTGTACAGTCCTAATGAATCACAGATGCTACATTAATGTATTTTTTTGGTCGCAGCAAATGGGCCGTCTGATGATTCCATTAACAGGTACTGTATCAAACTAAGAATGTGTTAGATGCTTTCTTACTTTCTAAGGTATTGATAAGGGAAAAGATCTGAACTTGTTGAATTACAGGAAGCTCTTCCTTCCTTGATAAAATGGAGAAAAATTCGGAGTAATTCCTAAAAGACTAAAGTGAGAGCAGAAGTGTGGTTTTGATTAATTTTAAGAACTTCAACCGTAGTTACATTATGAACAACTTATTATTGAGGGGGTACTATCGTTAGGAATATAGTAATAATTTTAAATAGTGCCTTCTCCATTATCTCTATAAATTGAAAACAATCCCAACGGACCTCATAATTCAGTAGTGAAACAATATCCATCACCCATTGATAATGATAAATAAGTAGTACGTTACTACGTTATGTGTAGTACTCCGTACAAAATTGGAGACAGGAAATATAAATTCGTTACAGAACTTATTATATTTATAAGTGATATACTCACTTAGTGTTCCGTATAGTTCTGCAAATGGAAAATATATGAACTCAATTATAAACTACTCCGTAATTATTTTACTAGAATAAAAAAGCAATCAAACCAGTACTAGCTGAAAAAATGAGCTGGCGAAGAAGGAAGATAGTGGGTAACTAAAGTATCCTCAGTCCAAAACGGTTCCTGATAAGCGAGGCCAGAAGTATCCTCAGCCGAAAGACTTTGACTTGATTCCGACTGGAAATAACTTGACGGCTGCTCGGAGAAAATAAGTGGATGAAATTCAAAAGAAGATGGTGACGTGATCAATGAAGAAGGGAAAGGCGGCAATGAAATGGAATCATCATGGAAGGCTTCCGTTGGAGCAGGACCATGAGCCGTTATTTGGTTTGGCAAGCAATAATCCGGCTGATAATAGCCGGCATAAAAGTCGCAACCGCTGGTCTGCCGGAGCATCTTGTCGCCGGAGTACGGTAAGTAGTCACCGTGACCGGTGGCAGTGCTACTTTGCATGTGCTGCGGCTGATATTGCTGGAAGAAGTACGGAGGAGGTTGGGCGGTGGGAGCGGGTACTCGCCTAGTAGCTGGCTGCTGAGGGGGAGGAGGAAGGGGCGAGGATGACTTGAAGTAGTCCTGGGGAAAGTTAAGCTTGGCTCTGCTGCCTCTGTATTTAAAGGCTTTTTTGTCGTATGCTCTGGCGGCCGCCTCTGCGGTGTCGAATGTACCTAACCATTTCCTAACCTCCGTGTGGGGATTCCTTATCTCCGCTGCCCATTTCCCGGATGGTCTCTGTCTTACTCCTCTGTATCCTTTTCTTCTTTCTCCGGTTTCATCATCATCGCATGCTTTGCCCATGGTTATGGTGGAGGTCGCCGCGGGCCCCACTATCGGTGGCGCCACAAAGTTGCTATATTCTGAAATACAATTTTATTACATTAAAGATTGTATATCAAACCATGCATCAAAATAATATTCAAGAATAACATATCCAGAGTATTATAATTGTATATCAAACCATGTTTGTATTTGTATATCAAACCATGTGTCAAAACAATATTCAAGCATAACACATACAGAGTATTATAATTGTATATCAAATCATATTTGTATTCGTATATCAAACCATGTTTCAAAATAACATTCAAGCATTACACATACTCCGTACAAAGTATTAATAATATCCCAAAATAATTTCATACAATTTTATTTACCACAATGATGAACAATGTGAGTAAAAGACCCTCACATAACATAGAAGTAAATATGTTATACCCGCACGGGCCGCACCATTAGCTCAAAGACAATCGAGTGAGATAATTAATTGAGTTCAAGTCTCATGTCAATTTGCAGTAGCGGTAGTGCGAGAACTTCTTGCACGCACTAAACTCTGAACTATACTACTACCTCACTCAAAATCTGTTTGAGATCATAACATGATTTACTTTTTCATCATTAGTAGAATCAAGGTGTGAATCCGCCTTTTTTGGTTGAAGCGAGTATGCTACGTTCTACCCTAAATCACTCCGTATTAAGTTAGTATGTAGTAGCATGACTTGCCTAAAGGTACGGGTGTCCGGACTCCAGAGGGGCTACAATCGCGTAGCTTTCTAAGTTATACTACTACCTCTGTCCCACTAGCATTCAAACATGAAAAAGTGGTGCAATTATTAAGAAAAATGTGTTTATGTGGTTGATATTGAATTAATAAAGTAAGAATAAGGTAAAAATGATTTAATTAGAACCACACAAAATTTATTAAATTTACTATGAGCTAATTTTAGTGGGATGAATATGAAAGAAATGATATGACAATATTAGGTATGGTAAAAAAGGTGAGGTCTAACATTATTTCCACACAACAAGTTGTAAGAACATTTTATTTAATGTTTTTTTTTGAAAAACACTTGTGGGATGCATGTGGATTTTTGTTGTTGCGATTCCCGGGAATGGGAAGTATTAAGTAGGTCTAATCGACAAGTATCCGTCGTCTTACATGCCGAGTGTATTTTGTCTGCGCAAGACAGATGATTTTCACTTTTGCAGAGGGAATTGTGTGAGACCCTGAAAAGTGAATTGTCTGTCCACAGACAGTTAGGATTCACAAACAGTTCTCTTTATTACTAAAATGAAAATCACCCGTGTGCACTGACAAAATACATTCAACGTGTAAATGGACGTGTAAGAAGGCTTATACAAAAACCACCTTTGAATCGACAATGACGCAAGGATATACTTCGTATTATATTAGAGTAGCTAAGCATCAAACTATTTTTCTCCTTTTTATTTTGTGATTTGAGATGGGCAAGTGAGGAAATGTTAGGCCTCCATCTATCCCAAATTTGATGTTTGATAAATATATACATAGTATATATTTTTATATAAAAACTAATTTCATTTTTTTGGTACCGATCACACCCAATTTGTAGTCCTGACTACACTGGTGTTTGAGATTGCAGTCTCTTGAAACTTTAAGCAACTTAGTTAGATCTACCGTTTAACATACTACGTATTTGTTTTTGTTGCTTGAGCTGATATTTATACCAATACTTAATACTAGTACTACACAATAATTATTGCATACTACGTATTTAAAAATTAATTAAAACCTGTACTGTAAGTTTTATATATTGAAAACACAAACAACAGAAAACAAATATGTTAAATTTTGATGCGCAAAGTAAGAATTTTCATTAGCCAACAATCTTTTCAAATCTTTTGAGAGGTATATAGAGGGGGTATATTTAAATATTTATTACGGAGTATATTCAAAGTTGCAAATTCCAAATTCGAAAATAATTAAAAATTAACATCCTAATTAAGCAAATAAAATCAAACTATTTGACTAAGAAAGTCAATTTTGCAAATCAAAGGCTTAGCAAAGTTACTACTCCGTACTTGTGAATTACGTGGATCACACTCTCTTCTCACAAACACGCAATTGTATCTAGTGTACATTTGAGTGATCTAAGTCATTATCTCAGTTTTATTAATAATTAAATTGTTCAATTTTAATTGGTCCAAATTAGAATACACGGTAAAATTTATCATAATTGTAGAGCTCATTTTTAACACTGAAATCGTCTGATTCTGCTAAAATTTATAAAGTTTTGACTGAAGTACTTGGCTGGATTGACCGATTATGCTGATTTATGAAAAACTATATTTTATTACTTCGTATTACAAATAAAGAAATAAATACATGAAATTGCTAGAATGATCATCTATTGTACCTTCAGTCAATACAACCATAAAAATAACTTCAACCTTACTTTTTCTTATTATTACACAATTCAACGCATGAAATCAAAAATTACGTGCTTGGTGAAAAGTTGGTTAATAAGCGGAAAAACAAGGTCACCAAAGAGGCTCGAAATGATGAAATCTGGATTCCCAAAAAGAGATCCGTTTAAAAGTAGTCAAGTACTACATAAGCCTTTTTTTGAGTTGAAATGTTTGAGAATTCAAAAATAGAACTATCATGATTTTATTACCTTCTAAATAGGAGTAATTCTGTCAAGCTTGTAAAATACTGTGTTGTTTAAAGTCTATTACTGTCAAAACATGACAGTAACTACACCTATATATTAGAGAATAAAAATATGATAGTTCTATTTTGAAATATACAAATGTTTTTAGTCCCATTTAAGTGAAGTCGAGTACGTAAGCCAATAATGGTTGAGTAACCGTTTTTAAGCATTTGTAACATCTTAAGTGATATTTATACTTTTTATCCCATCAATTATGATGTCTTTACTTGGATTGAAATTTAATGGTCTGGTCTGGTCTGGTCTAATCTAGTCTGGTCTGGTCTAGTCTGGTCTGAACTGGTCTGTATTGGTAAAGTCTGATTCTTGTGTATTTTATAACTATCCAAGTCTGATCTGGTCTGGTCTGAGACTAAAAACAGTCGAAGTAAAAACATCCTTAGTATTAATATTGTAAAGAAATTAAGAGTTTTTCTTAAATATTATTGAAATATAATTAGAGGTCAAGATATAAATATTACTATAATGGAACACATGCTCATTAAAGTTATTATGGTTGTCATTAAATCATATTTTTTCTACTATCTTTCATTGCGGTCATATACTTATCATTATTTCAAGAAAGTATTGTAGTTACTCGTTTTTACTGTTTGTAGTAAAAAGTAGGTGTATAGTTGAGGCTTTTCTATTGGGATAAATTTAGTGAATAAGTTATAAAACACACATGATCCATCTATCCATGAGGTGTAACGATTAATGTATGACACGAGATCTAGATTTTGGTGTTGGTCAAGTGAGAATGATGCAATCCTCTATTCCAAATTATTGTACTTTATATAATTAATCAAATAATGACATACAAATGAATAATAGCTCGTATATGATTAAAATAATGATCAAAATTAAAAAACACCTCTTATAGAAAATGATCACTATACAACTTTTATCGGCTATTGTTATAGTAGTATACCCCATAAGGCCATAATGTTTTTCTTTTTGATACACCGGAAAGGATACCCATAATGTTATGCATATAAAGATTTTAGTCATTTTTAGAATCCGTATAAATGTTTTATTTGAATTATTCTAAAACATAATGGTGTCATTTCATTTTTGCATATACCTAGTAATACTGTACTAGCTTAGCATCAATTTTGTGTACGCAAATGTTAACAACTTTATTTTTTAATCATTTTATTAAAGATGATTACGAAGTACTAGTATAAAGTTGTGACATATACTCCCTAGCTATTATATTTAATTCGGGCCAATCTATGTGTGCACGTACCAACAGGTGGTTGAAGAGAAGAGGAATAATGTCCTCCGCCGCCACTAAAAAACACTCCGTAGACGTCCATTTGTGGCGCCTCCGGGAACTGCTGCTGAATTGGTGGCTCCTCCTGTGGCCAGGCCCATGAACCCGAGCCGGAAGACGGTGGCGTGAACCCCGCTGCCGGTCCGCTGCCAGCACTGGTCCCGCACACGACATGCGTCAGTGCCGCCACCATAGCTGATTTCTCCGTCATCTGACCGTATTCGGATAGTATCGGCGGCGGGCAGAATGCATATTCAGGGGAATCTCTGCCGGTCGCTTCAAACCCGGCAGAGTCATTGTTATTATTATTATAGATAACATTACTATTATAAGAATATCCTCTTTTCTCCCACGCCACTTTTAGTTTATTAACAAAAGAACCTAGGCAGCTTAGTTTTGGTTTCCTAAAATGGACCAGACACACACTTATATATGGCGTAATTAATAAGGTGATTAGAATTTTATAAGAGCTACTATATATACATACTAGCTACTCCATGTCCCAAGAACGTACGCAGTAAAGAAGAAAAGAACGGAAATTTGGTTACGTTGTTAGGATGGATGATCAGAAGACTTTGATTTTGAGAAGCAATTGGGAAGTTACGTTAAGATGGAGTGAGCGCATACTGAATCAAGCTAAGCCACTAAAACAACAGTAGAGTGGGCATATGCATGCATGCCGCTAATACCACAGTACGTGCATGGAAGCATCGTACCTATCTCACGGATTACCCATCACCAATTCCAAATGTGACATCAATTTGCATGTTAAAATTGAAATTATAAAATAAAAAAAAAAATGTTTATATATGTTTTTAGTCCGGGCAAATATGACACTCTTTTATAACACTTCAATTTTCTTTTTTTCTACATCCATGTAAACTGCATGTATTATTTTTTGGTTCATCTCTAACTCTGAGACCACCGTATACAGGGGCGGACCCAGGAAATTTATCTTGGGGGGTTCAATTTTTTTTTGGGGCGAAAATTATTTTTTGATGGGGCGAAAATTACTTTTCGTATATATATACACTAAAAAAAAATTGTTGCGGGAATTATTTTTTGATGGTCCGCCCCTGACCGTATACTTGGGGAATTTTTTTTGAAATAATGATAAAACTAAGACTTCTAGCTTATGACTAGACATAAGTGTATTTCAAAAGATTTCTAGAAAAATTAAATTTAATAAAAAGCTTCAAGAGCAAAACCAAGAAATTGAAGTTTAGCTCCTCATTTGGAGACTAAACATGCTAGAAAAATATAAAGAAAATAATATTCTAAGTTGAGCTTAAGTATATGAAAGAAGGGATGATTAAAAGTGAAGGAAAGTGTGCTATGTAACACCGTCCCCAAATGTATTTATCTTTAAGCGAATAATTTATTGAACCCTATGAAATTTTTAGTGAATTTACGAGGTTGTGAATTTGTATTAATTTTTCTCGCGTGAATAGTAAAATGCACGTGGGGCCCACAT